GTCGCCCATGATCTAAACTCCCCAGAACTGGGAGCCAAGGTAAAACTTCCCTTTTCTCAAGTTGGCATGTCAGGTACGTGTTAGGTGAAGCAGCACATAGGTCCCTTGTGTATTCATGGAAGAGTGTTTTCTCACATCTCCCACACGGAGTGTGTTGGTTCTCACATAACCCCAGGCGCACACGTCCAGCATCAAGCTGTCCTCCTAGTTCACACGCGCCTTACAGATCATTGGGCCAAGCCTGTCCTTTCACACTAGAACCCCACAGAGGTGAGGTGGCAAACATGCAGTCACTTTAGGTTGTTCCCCTTGCAGTTACCTGCAAATCCTCGAGCTGCTTTCAGACCTACGACCAGATGGAGACACAGAAGTCAGCGGAGTGGCTGGGCAGGCAGCGCTGCTGTGGGTAACGGGTGTGGGTGTCAGTGGTGAGATTCAGGACTGTACTTACACTGCTTTATGAAACGTTTTCTATATTCTGCAAACAATCACACAGGGAGATAAGTATTTTGATGACACACAGACTGAATTTTCAATTTTGCACTGGAAAGAAAACAAAACTTACCAAGTTCTTTAGTGATTCTCTCTAAAAAAAAAAAAAAAAAAGGCAAAGGGATATTAATTTTAGAAATTCCGAGAAAGTTGTTCCTAGATTTTGTCTTCACATAATTTGTAAAGTACTTGGGAACACTTGTTCAGCTTTCTGGAGTTTGAAACAGAAATATAGAAAGGGTCTTTAGAAAAAAAAATTTTCTTTGTTCTGTAAACAATCACACTGAGAGGCAAATATTTTCATGACACATAGACTGAATTTTCAATTTAGCGCAAGAAAGAAAACACAACTTACCAAGTTCTTCCATAGTCTTCTCTGAAAAAGTAAAAAGGCAAAGAAGTATTACTTTTTGAAACACCAAGAAAGTTGTTCCTAACCTTTGTCTCCATATAATTTGTAAAATACTTGTGGACATTTCTTCAGCTTTCTGCAGTTTGAAGCAGAAGGACAGAAACAGTCGTTACAAAAAGTTTCCTTTGCTCTGCGGTCACACAGAAAGATAGGTATTTTGGTGACACACAGACTGAATTTTCAGCTTAGCACATGAATACAGTCGGAATTTACCAAGTTGTTTAGCGATTCTCTCTAAAAAAAAAAAAAAAGGCAAAGAAATATTAATATTTGAAATGCCAGGAAAGTTTTTCCTAGAGTTTTTCACAATATAATTTGTGAAATATTTGGGAATATTTTTCCAGCTTTCTGTTGTTTGAAGCAGAAATACAAAAAGGATCTTTACAAAAAGTTTTTTTTGTTCTGCAAGCAATCACACTGAGAGATAAGTATTTTCATGACATCTAGGCTGAATTTTCAAATTAGCAAAAGAAAAACAGAACTTAACATGTTCTTTAGTAATTCTTTTTTTAAGAAAAAGGAAACAAATATTAATTTTTAAAATGCCAAGACAGTGGATCCTAGCCTTTGTCTTTATATAATTTGTAAAATATTTGTGAACAGTTGTTCATCTTTCTGGAGTTTGAAGCAGAAGGACAGAAAAAGTCTTTACAAACAGTTTTATTTTTTCTACAATTACACAGAAAGATAAATATTTTGATGACACACAGACTGAATTTTCAGTTTAGCACATGAATATAATCAGAATTTACCAAGTTGTCTAGCCATTCTCTCTAAAAAAAAAAAAAAAAAAAAAAGGCAAAGGAATATTAATATTTGAAATGCCAGGAAAGTTGTTCCTAACATTTTTCTTGATATGATTTTTAAATGACTTGGGAATGTTTGTTCAGCTTTCTGTAGTTTGATGCAGAATCACAGAAAGGGTCTTCACAAAAATTTTCTTTTTTCTGCAGACAATTACACTAATAGACAAATATTTCAAAACATAGACTGAATTTTCAATTTAGCACAGGAAAAAAAAATAGAACTTACCACATTCTTTAGCGATTCTCTCTAAAAATCAAAAGACAAAGGAATGTTAATTTTTGAAATGCCAAGAAAGTAGTTCCTGGCCTTTATCCACACATAATTTGTAAAATATTTGGGAGCGTTTGCTCAGCTTTCCGGAGTTTGAAGCAGAAGGACAGACAGGGCCAGCTGTCCTTGCTGTCTGCGTGGGACACCACTGAACTTGTGTACAGTCTCGCTGCCACTAAGGCCGGCAGGGTTTGAGGCCTACGACTATCACAAGCAGCGCACTTTTACAGCATCATCGAGCAGCTAAATGATATTTCCTTTCATTAGTAACGTACATGCAGCTGGTCCTTTCTTGG